TGATGGTGACTTTCTAATTATATGATTAGAGCTACCAATGGCTTTCAATCTTATTTCTTTTATAGGTTGTAGTTGCAAATGACTCACCATTTTCATTTCAATGATTTCTTTTAGGGGTTAAAGTGGCAAGGGACTCGTGATTTTTATTTTAATGATTTCTTTTATAGGTCTGTAGTCACGAGGATCGATCATTTTTATTTTGATGATTTCTTTTATGGGTTATAGTCACATGAGACTCACCATTTTCATTTTGATGATTTTTTTATAGGTTGTAATTGTATAAGACTCATCATTTTCATTTTATTTAAACAATTTCTTTTATTGGTCTGCGATCGCGAAAGGACTTATTATTTTCATCCTGTTTGAATGATTTACGTTATAGGTTACGGTTGCATGAGACTTGTCATTTTTATGTTATTTGAATGATTTTATGTTATAGGCTAGAGTTGCAATGAACTAGTCATTTTTATTCTGGTTGAATGATTTTTATTATGGGCTAAAGTCGTAAGAAACTCGTTATTTTTATTTTGTTTATGTAGTTATGTTTTGATTGGGTGCTCAACTACTTGGTTGTTTTATGAGTCCAAGCATGTGAAAGAGTACATCATTTAAAATTATGGATAAAATCAATGATGGATTATCTAAAATTACTAACTACATCAATAGAATTGTTATAAATAATTAAATATATTCAAATCATCTATTTATTAAATCAAATTTAGAATATGATTTTTTTTCACATGTAAGAGCAAATTCATAATTATGAAGTGAAATAATTAATAATGCATTTTTCATAAAATAATGCAGAAAAACTTAATGACGCGTAAAAATTCTATTGGTTTATTCCTTTTTTCTTAGCATTTTTTTATTATTGGTGGGGAATCGTTATTAGTTCTTAAAAACTAGAAGACTCAATAATTCATCTATCTATTAATTACCTAACCTAATTATTAAAATAAATTTTAAAATTAAAAATTAACTAAAAAGTTCAAGGAAACTCAAAACATTAAATCAAAATTAATCAAAAAAGAAAAATACATTCATAAAAGAAATTCGGGGTCAATTTATCTAAAAAAGAATTAAAATGAAGGCATTAGTTTTTTTTTAGGTTAGTGGGCCCTCAACCTATTAAGCTAGGCCCACTAGGCTGGACATCCTCTCCTCTTCTCTCTTTCTCAAATAGCCGGACCTAAAGTCCATTTCACCAAAAACAACATACCTTTTCCCTCTCTATTTCTAATTGTCTAAATCAAAACCCGATTTCATTTTCTCTCTCTCTCTCTCATTTCTCCTCATCCCCTACTCCAATCTTTAAAACCTTCACTTCATTCATCTATTTCAATATGAACCCAAAAACTCAAATGAGATCAAAAGGATCTTTTTTTCGAGCCACCTCTTCATTTTTTGAATCCACCTCTTTCTCATCCCGCCTTCTAATCAAAACCTATATCTCTTTTATTCTTCTTTAAATTAAAGATCATGACCGATAAACACCAACCACCTACTACTCCTACATTTTCCCCCTTTCGAGTAGTTTCTAGATCTTCTTCCTTAAACCATTTCCCTTTCATTTTTAAATTAATAAAAAGCCTTTGTCAATTTTTCCTAATTTCCTCTTGTTTTGCTTCAAATTGATAAATCTTGGGTTTTACCTATTTCTTGAGTTGAGCCCTAAGACCTAAAATCGGACTAATTAGGTCCGTAATTAAACTCCGTAAAAGCCTTTAGATCCCTATTCTCATCTTTCTCTCGCATACCCGAACCCGAGGTTAAATCGTCATCACTCTTTTGTTTGCTAAATCTTTCCTTTTTCTACGAAATCCAATCCTAATCTCCCTCTCTTTTAGAAATAACTCGAACCTCGAATGATTTCCTCTTTATCTTATAGGTTTCCTAATAACCTAGACCCTATCCTATGAAACTTAAACTTTTAATCCTCACAATCGGTCTCCTATTTCCACTCCAAATACCAAACCTAAACCCATAACTCACCCATTAACTCTAAAATCTAACTCTCTTAAGTCATCCTAATCGAGTCCTCACTCACCATTTATAGCATGGGGGTGTGTGAAATTAAAAAAAGAACGAGTAATCGTGAAATGGTAGTAAAGAGTATCACTTGTCATTGCTCTTTCAAAATCATAGAGTCATATTGGTGTGAATGAAAGATGTGAGTTTGAAGAAACTCTTTCCTAGAGCTCGAGTAAACGAGTGATAAAAGTAGAGGATGTCAAACTAGTGGCAAGTTTGTTACGAATGTAGAATTGTAAGAGCTTGTCTTGGTGCGGCTAGTTTAGTTTCTCCTCTTTCGAATTTTTGGTAAGAGACGCTTATTTCCTTGTTGCTTATTTTTACTTCAATTTATCTCTTAATTCCTTTTCTCCTTATTTCCTTTCAATTATTCTATAACATAATTATTGTACTCAATCTATAATTCTTCCCTTTTTTTTTTCTTAAGACCCTAAATTCTTCTCTTATTTATACTCGAGAGAGTCTCTTCACCACCGGGATCAATTCTTACCTCATTCATAACCGAACAAACCATCCTACTCGTTGTATGTTTTGGCTCTATATGGATAGAGCAAAATATGTATTTTTGTGTGATGTTCTATGCATTGGTATTATTATTTTTTATATATAAGTGTAGCATGATAAGAGAAATGTACACTGCAATTCTCTAATAGGAATTACCATACAAGGAGCGGTGACAATCTTGTCCCTTCTAACTAGTTGTCTTCATTGATAAAGATGAAATAGAGCAAAAAGGTGGAGTGTAGGAACTAGCATGCTTGGATTTACGTTAAAAGAGCTCAAATGGTTGGTTATTTGGATGGTATGAATCGGTCATGTCATCTACATCTTAAGTTGATTTAGGTCCTCGTTAGTTAGGTTTTGTCTCAATTGTTCCATTCGATGTATCAATGAAGTTCTTGTATTTATAAATTTCTTCAATTAAGTCACCGAGTTATTTAATTATTATTCTAAAATTTTAAATTTTATCTCAATTTCAATTTTGCTTGATTCATTTGTATCCCTAATTTTGTATTTTTTTATTATATTTCCTTTTTTTCCAACAATAACAAATAAAATAACTAAATAAAAGAAGATAAGAAAAAAAAGGATAAACAAAATATAGAATGGATAAAAAAGATTGGGGGAAATTAGTTATAACACCCATAACAAAAATAGTTCAAATAAAATAAAAAAGACAAGTCCCAAGCGACTACAACCCATAACAAAAATCATTCAAATAGAATGAAAATAACGAGTCTCTTATGACTAGAGCCGTAACGAAATCATTTAAACGGAATGAAAATGGCGAGTCCTATGCAATTATAGTTTATAACAAAAATCATTCAAATAAAATAAAAATGATGATTTTTATACGACATCGACCCATAAAAAATCATCAAAATGAAAATGATGAGCCCTTTATGGTTGTAGCTCATAAAAGAAATTATCAAAATGAAAATGGCCGGTGTCTTGCGACTACAATCTATAAAAGAAATCATCCAAATGAAAATAACAAGTTCTTTATGATTGTAGTCTATAAAAGAAATCATCAAAATGAAAACAATAAGCCCCTTGCAACTATAGTCCATAAAAAAAATCATTAAAATGAAAATTACTACTCCATTATGATTACAACCTACTAAAGAAATCATCAAAATGAAAATGGTGAGTCCTTTATGACTACGACCTATAAAAGAAATCGTTGAAATAAGATTGAAAGTCATTGACGACATCACATAAGTGAAAAGCAACCGATAGCTTGATTTCGTTCGACCTAGGAGTAGATAATCATATTTGAAAGCCATTGGTAAATTCTACCATATAAGTAGAAAATTACCAATAGCTTCATTTCATTTGAAAAAAAATCAAATAAGCTAGTTTGTAAGCCAATGGCGACTTCGACCACATAGGTGGGAAGTTGTTATTGGTTTCTTCAATCATAGAGAAATTCAGCTAATCATGCATTAGACATGAATATCATGTATTCAGCATATCAAACCTAATATATTATATTAATCACATCATTCAACACAAACGTAGGAATCACATTTGAATGCAAACATCATGATCAATATTTATCCCGAATACACTATTGAAATTAAAACTCAAACTCATCCTATTAGCTTCATTGTAGAGTATTAATCAACATGTGTTATTTCACTTTAAAATACACGAGGTCTACGAACCTTTTTGATTCAATACACAACGAGTGTATCCGATCACACTTCAAATCGCAAACACAACCAAACAAAAATATTTCATATTTCATTCATCCATAACATAACATTTTTATCATTTTCATTTATCATTTTTAGATAGTCCGAGATAGGTTTAAATATTACTCACATGTTGTGATAATATTACAAGTCCCTCTCTTGAATTTTCAATCTCGATGAAGACCGATTATTTAGTCAATCGAGAAGGAGGAAACAACTATTTGTGAGCTTCCTTTATGTTTTGTTTTATCTAATATGGTCTACCATCTAAAATGTTTCATGCTAAATAATATACAAAGTCCATTTTCATTTGTTTTTTCTAATAATATTCACTATCAAACACCAAGCACAATGTACTTTTTTTTGTATGTCTATTTCGTTTGAAATTTGTTCCAAATTTAAGGCTAATTGGTTTTTGGATGGTGGTTTTTTAGGTGGAGTAGTGGCGGCGTGGGTTTCAAGTTATGGTGATTGGATGAGGGGGTTTCAAGTGGTATAAGAGGTGGGTTTTAAGAATTGGTGGCTCGAAATTAATTAGAGGGTAGTTAGGTCGGAGTGATTCGGAGAGGTGACTACTAGTTTGGAGAAGCTTGGGTGAGCTATTGGTATGCCTTGGTGGCTACTCGTGAGTGGTGTCCGAAGCTCTTGGTGGTGGGTTGAAGGTTGAAAAAGAAGGAAGAGGGTGACTTTGTTATGTTTTCATATTTTGATGGAGAGGATGATTGAATAAAAAAAAATTGGCTCTTTTCTCCTCTTGTTGTCTCGATCAAGTGCTAGAAGAAAGAACAAGAAGGGTAGATGTTCAAATGGTGGTGTTTCGATCGAAGATGAAGAAGAAGTGTAGAAGGGCATTTTGGGTAAGAGGAAAAGAGGCTATAGGGGTAAGTTTTGAGCAAGAGGAATATGTAGGTGGTGGCCGTGGTGCTCGACCGGAGATGGTGGTTTAGGTGGTGAGTCTGGTTGGAGGTGATGGTGGTTTAGGTGGTGGACGATAGCTAGTGTTTCAAATGGAGAAGAAGGAAGAGGAAGTGTGTATAGAGGTTAGGGCTTTGGGCAAGTATGGGAGACGGTGGCGGCTAAAATTTAGGAAGATGATGAATAATGTTTGCGCCAAGATGAGAGAGAAGATGAGTATTTATAGAAAAAAAATTAAGGTTTTGGTTAAACATCAATTTTGATCCCTAGTTTATCCGTATTTGTCACTTTTGGTGCCATTTTGCTTGTTTAAACTTCAATGACACCCCTTAATTGCGATTAATCGGGATCTCTTCTTTTAATTTCCCTCAATCGTACCCTTTTCATATTTCAATTAAGGATCGAGGGTTTTGAATTTTCAATTGCACCATCAATTAGGTTTTTCTTAGTTCTTAAACTTTCTACACTACCAGAATAATAGGAATTAGTGACGGTATAGACCATCGCTAATTTCTTTAAAATCGTTGTTAATTTTCATTAACGATGATTTTTTTACGGTCTTAAAATCGTCCGTAAAATGCTACTCGCTAAAATTGTACGATGGTTTCATGGGCCATCACTACATTTTACGACGAAAAAACCATCGTAAATGAAAAAAACCATCATAAATGAAGGAGAAATTATGATGAAATTCTAAAATCGTCACAACATTATCGAATTAGCAACGATTAAAACCGTCACTAAGTCCGTCGCTAATGGTAATTTATTTTCAATTTATTTTTTAATTTTATCCACATTTTAAATCTTTTATATTAACCAATTTAAAAATCTAAAAAAAAAAAACCAAAATATTATATTTTAAAATTTCATAATATTTATTATAAAATTTATTTAAATGTAATAAATATTTAATTATTAAATTCTCGTAAAAAGTAGAAAGTTTGTTATTATTACAAGAAAACATGAAAGCTAGGAGAGATCGACATGGTTGTCAATTAGAGGTTGGGTGGAATTGTCATGAGGTTAGGTGGAATCTTTATCAATGTTAGGTACGATGGATGAACGCGCTTCGTCGCATAATCAACAACATCTCGTTGCATTTGTCTCATCATCTCATATTGCTATCGAGTGTACTCCTTCAACTCATTTATTGTTACCAACGAGTGATGTCATAGTATCTCGTAGATCTTGGATCTCGATCGTATATGTTGCATGTAGATCCTCGAATTCCTTTTGTTGTCCCTCATCATTAATATGGAACCGCAAAGTTGCCAAGCTGGAAGTTGTACTTACATTAGAGTAATAGTGAGATGTGTGTGATCCGAGTTCGTATATCCTCTTCCAACGACCTTCTTAAAAATTTCATTAATGTCGATCTTAGTCGATGAAGTCCCCAGGTTTGCCGGCTAGCTATCTCCTCATCAATTATTCTTTTGTGGTAACTCTTGGCGAGGAGGTTATACTTTCTCGTATTTTTTCCCCTATTGTTTTGGGTGAAATTGCTAGTGGACTATCTCATCATCTCATGCCTTGTTGAAAACTGCTTTTGTTTGCTTTCTCTTTTGCAAGCCTGACATGCTTTGTTTTCTTATTCTAATTTAACCAATAATAATAAGTAAAGAAAAAACCTAAGATAGCTCTAAGGTCAAACGTAAGTCTTATTCATTCTTTTATATATATATATATATATATATATATATAGAGTGGAACTTGATGTATGTTGAGATGATGAGGTAGTCAGTCCACTTGCAATTTCACCCGAAACAATGGGGAAAAATACAAGGAATTATTTGTTCTCATTGTAGAAGACAATGGTACCTTGTTGAGAACTGCTCTTCTCTGACATTTTAAGTTGAGATTGTAACATAGAACTGTCAAATCGTCACCAGGAACTAGAAGAGTTGCAAGAAAACTTTAAGGGAAATTATGATGTTAGACATATTTTATGTTTCCGGGCAGAGAACAGCTAGCAGGGGCTTTTTATTTTTATTTTTATCGGGAAAAGGACTTGATTCGAATTCTGCCCATGTATAGGATAAAGTTAAATTTACATCAGTTACATCTCTAAAGGAAAAAAAAAAATGCTGTATCTACGTTACAGAAGGTGTTGGATTCATGATTTATAGCCTTCCTGAATGCCCTACATACTGATATTTTCTGCTTGGCTCATTGGTCCTACAGGACTTACTTGTTTGAGGTTGAAGATCTGGCTCTCCAGGACTCATTCGTTTGAGTTTGACGATCTGGCTCTCCAAAACTTGAAGAAGCGGTCGAATGTAGTAATGTTTTCTTATTTGGTATAACATACAACACAAATATATACACACCGATATACAGAAAATCAATAAAAGAAAAAGAATTTTAGCATTAAAGAAAAAGGGTTAAAGGTTCATGATATCCTTTTGTTGTTTCAAATATTTTAATCTCGTTTCTTTGTTTTTAATTATATCTTAATTACATCTGCATTTGATATAATAATGAAAAGATTATAACTATATTGTTACAATGCATTTTCGTAAAGCATGAAATAATAACTTCAACAGGACTCATTCGTCCAAGGTCGAAGATCTGGCTCTCCAGGACTCCTCGTTTGAGATTGTGGATCAGGTCTTCCAGGCTCCAATCGAGCTTCTACTTCCCAGCCCGACATTGTAAATTTCACACCCACCCATAGCTCGAAAAGGTGGTTCCTCCATAATATAGATGGATCAAGGGACCGAATCTCAGACCAAAACAATGAAAGCAATATAAACGTCAAACACAAAAGAGAGTAAAAAAATCCATTCTCATCCCAAAACTTCAAGTAGTGGCTTGGAATGGAAATATAGTTACGTATTTATAATCATCAGCTGTTCATCCCTTTGTTATATATAATCAAAGTAGGTAGAATTAGGAATTGGCATGACACCTGTGATGCACCACGCACAATGACTTTGTGATTGATGTGAGCTTTTTCTGGTTTTTGAGGACCACGTATTAATTAATGGTAAATTTGTTTTTTAATGGTTATGATACGATTAACGATGCCGATCGCTAAAAATTCAAATACCGACCGATTTAGATCAAGATAATTAATGCATTGGTGGTTTTGTACTCTAATGACTCCATAGTCACCACTTTCTTTTGTCACTAATTAATGCTAATCTTGTCGGCACAAATAAAAATAACCTCTAGGGCGGCTATGTACGGTAATTGGTGTATGATAAAGTCATGCAAGAAAGCTACATAGAATGACCTCTTGGATCACTGAAAGGTTAAATGGACAGGATTCGCTGGTTTTTGGTGAAGTGGGGGTGGCAACGATTTGGAGAGTCTGAACTCAAAGCAAGCTCGCCATATATATAAGACCCCAGCAGGAGGGGCATTTCTTAGCCGTTCATATCTACTCTCAGACTTGAAACTTTCACAACCTTTTTTTCCCCCTCTTTTTATTCTTCTCCACTTTCCTTCAATTACCATTGATATCGATTTGTGACAAAACAAAAAAAAAAAAAAAAAAACATTTATTTAATTACAATTTGATCAATTATATATTTGTGGTTTGTTCGTTAGTATATAGGCAGTAATCCCCTCAATCCCTAGTTAAATCAATTATTAGTTCATTTTACTTTTTAAACAGAAAGACGAGCACATATCAGAATTCTAGTTCAAGTTTTTTTTTTTTGGAATAATTGATTAAAAATTCGACAAAATATATTTCAATTTAAATAAATAAATTTGTTGATTTTTTATTTATTTACCACTCTGAAAAACTTTATTTTTATTTTTTCAACAAAATACATATCGATCCATAATAAAAAAACGATTTTGTAAACCGTCGTTAATTTTCCGACTATTGGAGGGAACAACTAGATTTGAATTTTTTTGTTAATATTAGCGATGGTTTTTTGACCATCGCTAAAACTTTCAATCTCTAAATAGCTACAGCTTCAAATTTTTCCTCTAAATTTTTTTTCCTCTCTTCTTCTTCTTCTTTCTAGCTGCGATTTTCCTCTTTCCTTTTTCCTTCAAATCTTTCCCTTTCCCTTATTTTCCTTCAAATCACCTCCTCACTCTCCTCATTTATCTTATCACCTCCATCTCCCCCCGTCTTCCTCATTTTCCTTTTTCTTTCTCCCCCTTTCCTCCACCTCCCATATTCTGGCCACTCCATCGACGGTAGCTCCTCCACGACGCAAAGCACCTCCTCCTCCTTGTTGGTGACGAGTCCTCCCTTATCCAACCCATCAATTCATTTTTATTTATTTATTGTAATTATTTAATTAATTTTATGTTAATTATTTTTGTTGTTAAATATTATTGTTAATGGTTGTCGTTGTTTATTATTTATTAGTTAATTGTTAATGTAATTTTTGTTGTTAATTGTTAATTATGTTATTGTTGTTAATTATTTATTTTTTAATTATTAGTTAGTTAATTGTTGGTATTTAGAAAATTTAATTGTTAATTGTTGTTGTTTTATTATTTATTGATAAATTGTTAATTAGTTTTAAATAATTTTTTATTATAAGTAATTGTTGTTTCTTGATTATTAAATTAAGTGTAATTATTTGTATTTAAATATTTTTGTAAGAGTTACTCTAATTAATTATGTGTTTAATAATTTTTATTTAGTTAGTTATTCATTTAAGTGTAATATTTTGTATTTAAAAAATTTAATTTCTCTAGAAATATTTAATAGGTGGTGTAATTAGTTTAATTAATTGTTTATTAAGTGATTTGTAATAAAATTAATTAATTTTACGAAAATTATATATATATAGGTGTCAATTCAAATTTAATTAAGTAAATTTATTATTTGTTAATAAAAAAATATATTATTTTTTAAAATAATATATTAGGTTTTTAATTGAGAAAATTAGTTTACAATTATATTATATAAGTATTGTATCAAATATATAATTAATTATTAATTTAGTTTATTTGTTTGTTAATTAAGTTTATTTAGTTGTTGATTAAATAAATTAGTTAATAAGTAAATTTTATAATTTATGTTTAAAATAATAAATTACTTAGTGGAATAAGAAAAATACAAGTTTATAAATACTTTAATACAATTAAATTCAAAATATTAAATTAAGTGCGTCGTTTCATTAAGTTGGTTGTTAATCTAGTTTTTTAATTTTTAAATTAAGTGCACTAGTTGGTAATTGATTTAGTAGGTTCATTTACTAATAAATTTATTAGAAATTTTTTAAAATATAAAATTATGTGTGTCATTTCATTAATTTGGTTGTTAATCTATGTTTTAATTTTTAAATAAAGTGCAATAGTTGGTAATTAATTTGGTAATTAATTTAGTAAGTTCATTTAATAATAAATTTATTAGAATTTTTTTAAAATATAAAATTATGTGTGTCGTTTCATTAATTTGGTTGTTAATCTATTTTTTAATTTTTAAATTAAGTGCAATAGTTGGTAATTAATTTGATAATTAATTTAATAAGTTCATTTAGTAAATTTATTAGAAAGTTTTTAAAATATAAAATTACATGTTAGCATAATTAATTTGTTATTGATTTAATATTTAAATTGTTAAATTAAGTACATTAATTACTAATAAAATATTATTTTTTTGAAATATTAATTTAATTAGTAATTTAATTACAAAAATAATTACATTTAGTTTAAAATGAATTCGAATCATTCATGGATTGACTATAGATTAACCGATGGACTATTAAATGAGCATTTCGTATATGAGATCAATGAATTTATTAATTTTTTTGTTAGTCATCCAGAGTGTATAAACAAAAATAAGATACGATATCCTTGTAAACTTATAAAATGTCAAAATCATAGTTATGAAAAACTCGATACCGTTAAGTATCATTTGATGAGATACGATTTTGTGTTTGGGTATTATGCATGGAGATGTCATGAAGAAAATGATTCAATCATTTATGGTGACAATTCGATTAATTATGTTCAACATGAATAAATATTTGATGATCCTCAAGCTAGTTAATATCACACAATGGTGATGGATGCATTTGGTTCATCATTTAATCCGTCTAATATAGATGAAGATCTAAACCCCGATTCCCAAGTGTTTTATGATTTATTAAATACAACGAATAAAGAAATAAGACTCGGTTCGAAAAACCACTCATAATTATTAGCAATGTTTCATTTGTTACATCTCAAATCCAAACATCATTTCTTGGAAAAGTGTTATGATGATTTATGTTAACTTATGAAAGAGTTGATGCCCGTCGATAACCGCATGCTAAAAGACTTTTATAATATGAAAAGATTGGTGAAAATGATGGGTTTACTCGTTTAAAAGATTCATAATTGTATAAATGGTTATATGATTTATTGGGGTAAAGACAACGAGAGAATCACTTGTAAAATCTATGACCATCCTTGATATCAAAATCTTAGGTGGGAATCAATTAGAGAAACATATGTCTCGTATAAAAAAAAACATATTATTTGTCGCTGATTTTGCGATTACAGAGGATATATGCATCAATCGCCACTATTGATGACATGACATGGCATGTCAAACATACGATTAAGACAGACGACATAAGTCATTGTTCGGACTTGTTCATATGATAGTATTTTGATGAAACACATCCTTTTTTTGCATCGAAATTAAGAATGTGAGATTAGGAGTTTGCATTGATAGGTTTTAGTCTTTTGAAAAATCTAAACAATAATATTGTTCGTGGCTTATGATTATAACGTCTTATAATTTACCATAGTGGAAATGTATAAAAGAAGAATATATGATCTTAACTATAATTGTCCTAGGTTCTAAAAACCCTAAAGTCAACCTAGATGTGTACTTACAACCCTTAATTAAAGAGTTGGTTAAATTATGACAAATTGTTGCTCTTACCCGTGATATGTCTCATAAGGAGAATTTTCGGATGAGAGCTACCGTCATGTGGACAATTAGTGACTTTCGGTTGGTGCTCTTACCTATGATGTGTTATTGTTCGGACTCGTTCACATGATAGTATTTTGATCAAACAAATCCTTCTTTTGCATCAAAAATTAAGAATGTAAGATTAGGAGTTTGCACCGATAGGTTTCGGTCTTTTGAAAAATCTAGACAATAATATTCTTTGTGACCTATGATTATAATGCCTTATAATTTGCCATCGTGGAAATATATGAAAGAAGAATATATGTTCTTAACTATAATTGTCCCAAGTCCTAAAAACCCTAAAGTCAACCTAGATGTGTACTTATAATTCTTAATTAAAGAGTTGGTTGAATTATAGGAAGTTGGTGTTCTTACCTATGATGTGTCTCGTAAGGAGAATTTTCGGATGAGAGTCGCTTGTCATATGGATAATTAGTGACTTTCCTAAATATTCAATGTTATTGGGTTGGAGTACTACAAGTACAATAGTATGCCCATATTGTATGAAAAATTTTGATGCTTTTAGTCTCTATAATGGCGGAAAGACTTTATGGTTTGATTGTTATTGAAAGTTTTTACCACGAAGTCTTCCTTTCAAGCAAAACAAGAATGCGATCAAGCAAAATTTTATTGTTACGAGACATTGCTCCTTTGGTAAAGTTTAGAACAAAAATTTTACAAGAATTACACCATTGAGGATTGTTGAAAGTAACGGAAGAGGGCTTCGAAGAGTGTAATAATAATATATCTAGATTTTATGGTTGAAAGAAATGTAATATATTCTAAGAAACCTCAAAATAGAGTCGATAGTTTTTTTCAACCTTCTACCGTGCTCATGCTATTTCATAAATTTCAAGTCGTTGGTTTGTATCATTCCTTCATAAATACCATGATTCATTAATCGAAATTTTACTTTAGCACTAATCTTAGCTACCACAGACTTGTTTTTTACTCCTTTATGTTGTCAAAATTTTCAAAACATAAGTATAATATCCAAAAGGGGATCGTCTATTTGTGATTCGACTTGCCTTGTCTATATCGGAATATAATTCCACTTTCGTACTTAAGTTTTTTTTAAAAATAATAATCCCTTACCTAGAGTTATTTTCAAGTATCTTAAGACTCTAATCGTTATGTGTTCTTCAATAGGGTTGTTTTTGAATTGGCTAATAACACTTATTGAGAATGCTATGTCTAGCTTAGTATGTGATAGATAGATCAAGTTCCCTATGAGTCTTTGATGTTTTCCTTTATCTATAAGAGCATTGTCCTCATCAAAACTAATTTTGATGGTATAATCCATAGATCTATTTGTAGGTTTACACCCAAACATACTTGTTTTTTTAAGAAGATCTAGTACATACTTTGTTTAGGAGAATGTAATGCCTTGCTTAGATCTAGTCACCGAAAGATCATGCATCTTATGGAGGTGTGAAATAAAAAAAATATTTTTCTCCATCTAAGGCCCCAATATCAAGCCGTTGAATCTACTTACCATACATATATGAATTATAAGCTATAAGTAAAGGATTACCTCTTGTAGTGCGGATCTAAACTCTTTTCCAACAAAATCGTCCAAGTGTCCGACCTTTATTGATGATCTACGTAGTCCAAGTATCCACAAAGAAGCACTCAAAATTAATTAGGTGCTAGCTCCATCTTTTTTTGATTTTGTATTTCCTCTAGAAATTAATCTCGGGCAAATTTTGCGACAACCTTAAAAAAGAAAGAAAGAATTTTTTTTGTTAGGGTTTAGGAGAAAACTATTTTCTCCTTTATTTTCCCTCTTAGTCGTGTGCCCTAGGTGATTTTAAGGCTAGCCAAATTTTCTTTTCTTTTTTTTTTCCTTTCTTATGTTAGCCAAATTTTCTCTCTCTCATATATATTTATAGGAGAGTTCCCTTATCCTCCAAGGACAATGAGAGTGGCGGCTATGAGTCCATAAAGGAGTCTAGGTTGTTGCTTTCTTATCTTTGAAGGGATATGAGTTATTTTATATATGACCTATTTGATTATTATCTTTAAAACATTCAACCCTATCCAAGATTGATGTTTATCTTTAAAAAATTCAACCTTATCTAATAAGTTTGATGTTTATCTTTCCACCAAAATTATCTTTAAGTTTTTTAATTAAATCTAATAGGCTAAAACTATTTTAGTCCAATTAATTTATTTGGACTATCCAAATAAATATTCTTAAATTATTTTAGCGGGGTTCACATTAGAAAATAATTTTCTAAAATACCCTTTAACCTAAATTAGGAAACTTCTTTCCTTTTAGGTTCTTTATTTTCAAATTTGAAACTAACTTCCAAATTAGGAAATCAATTTCTAAAATAAGAAACTTTTTATTTTTGAAAACTTTCAATTTTGGAAACTCTTTCCAAAATAGAAAACTTTTATAATTGAAATTTTTTTGAATATCTTTGTTTCTCATTTGTAATGTGAATACTTAAACTTATACGTGTGACTTAATAGGCTCCTAGATATGTTGACAATGTATTAAGAATAAAAGACTCCTCTTTAATCTCTTGATACATAAATCAAGATTGGCCTCTAGCAAGGCATCATGACTATCCAATTCTCTAGAAGGATTAGTTAATTCATTATTATCTTTCATGAGCATGGTTACCATACAATTCAATCCTCATGTCAACTTATCACAATGTCATCTCGAACTTGGTTATTAGTCTTCTTCGATTATGATCACATAGGTTTTTTTCGATTCTCAAATGTCTTACCTCTTAGAGTAAACCAACTATGCTTTGTTGGTGTACTCCTACTATGATTATAGATTTCTTGAGCGGACATTTATCAAATTGTAATGTGATAACTCCTTTAGCATACAAGAAATGACATGCCCTATATTAGTCATACACCTACCTCCATTAGATTCCTAGTATACCCAACAAATCATCCACGTGCAACCTATTAATGGATCCATCAAAACGAGTGTCAAAGTACATAAGTCCTTGAATGAGATAATCATGATAACTTCAAGTCTAAGGACCATTTGTACCCATCTCGTATGAGATTTCCATAAACTAAAATCAAATAAGTTCTCATGACGAGTCAAGTCCGAGTGACATGTTCTCTAACATAAATCACTAAGCGCTTACTTTGGTATCACCATGCCAACAGGTGTGAGATCTTCTACTACTATCATATAGCATGAGCATAACACTCATAAGTCTATCCGCATTTGTCAATGTCCATTCTTAACAATGCTATGAATTGAGACATTTAATGATATCATTTATGTGCATTAGTGTTTAACTCACATCTTTCGATCAATCACTATTGCAAATGCATATCATAAGGATTTCTATTTAATTCTACTGAACATGCAAACAAAAGAATTAATAAAATGATTTATTTATTATTATTAAAATAAATAATACAATGATACATCAACTTAAGTCCATCCATACATGGTTAGATCTTAGACACCTACACTAATAGCCACCTCCATTCTTAAGAAATATGTGAATTTACCTAGGTCTTTGATCTTAAATTCTCTATTAAAAAATTCTTTAACTCTTAAAATCTCCTTAGCACAATTCACTCGCTAGAGAAATATCATCGAAATAGACAATAAACACAAAAATTAGTCATTTTAAAGAATTTTTTACATATATTGTATGATCGGATTGTCCTTGTATATACCCATTATTCTTCATAACTCTAGTAAATCTCTCAAATCAAGCTCTAGGTGATTGTTTGAGATCATAAAGTGACTTTTTTAGTCGACACACTTTGTTGATGGTTGATGAGTTATGTAGTCCTTAAAGAATGACCATATATACCTCCTTCTCTAGATTCCTATTCAAGAATGCATTCTTGACATCTAATTGATGAAGGGGCCAATCCAAATTTACTTGTAAGAGAAAATATTATTTGAATAGTGTTGAGTTTCGCTATCGGAGCAAAGGTCTCCTAATAATCTATGCCATAGGATTAATTAAATCCCTTGACTACCAACTCGAGCTTTGCATCTTTCAATATTCTCATCTCGTTTTTGTTTTTACATTCGAGATCCAGTTACACCTAATCACATTCTTTTCATGAGGTAAATTAGTGATCTCCCAAGTACCATTATTCTCACCAAAGAGCTTGTAGCCCATTGGTAGTGTTCTCTTATAAGAGGTCACGAGTTTAAATTCTAATAAATTAGTTCTACGAAGAGCTTTGGGTATGTGTGTTAAAAAAAGTACCATTCTTCATTAGAGCATTAACTTCTTCATTGATTGCCTTCTTCAATTCAAGGATAGCTATGGCTTCTTGTATTGAGTTCAAAATGGATGTAGAATTGATTTCTTCGGTGAATGCTTGGTAAGATGAAGATAGTCCATCACGGTTCATATAGTTCTTAATATGGTACAATGGCCTACTTCTACATTCTCTCACCCCTTTCCTAAGTGAAATGGGTATATTCTTATCCGAATTACCAAGATTAATTGAACTAAGACCTATAGAATTTTCCTCTATAATTTATAAATTAGATGTAGGGATATTTACCTTATGTTCAAATGCTGGTAGTAGCTCTAAATTTGTTAGTCTTTGATTCCTTTAGCTTTTTTTATTATTATGATAGATAATTATCTTGGGAGATGTAGAATCAAGTGGTTATGATTCAAGTTCAAGTTGGACACTTGGAGATGAGGTAGAAGCACTTTTAGATGGATAAGGTACATTTGTAGTTTCGGGTGTTTTTGGTATGCAATCTATGCTCTCCAAGAAAGACTAATATTTTTTAACTCTTACTAGAATTCTTCTCATGAATATCAATTTTAGGATAATAAGTTTTTTTTTTAAAAAATGTGACATCCATGGTGTGATAAAACTTTTAGTTGCTAGAACGAAGCAAATCGTAACTCTGTTTGGTTGAGAAAGTACCCTACAAAGATACATTCAGTGAATCGAGAGTCAAGCTTGGTTCATTGTTGTCGATGGATGTGCACAAACACAATACACCCAAATATTTTAGAGGAAGAGTGGAAATTAAACTACTTTAAGGAAAGTGTTATAAAAATACTTTCTTTGAAATGGAAAAATCTAATACTTTTGATGGAAGTCAATTAATTAGGTATGTTGTTGTAAGTACAATGTCACCCTAAATTTTTTTTAAAACATTGGATGAAAACAACGAAACCTTGTAATGTCTAGAAGGTGTCTATTCTTTCTCTCGATCGTCCCATTTTACCGAGGGGTATCTACATAAGAACTTTGGTCTATGATTCCCTTAGTTGATAAATATGAGCTAAGATTAAAATGAAATACTCCATTCCATTATCAGTTTGAAGTATCCGAATAAAAGCTTAAAATTGATTTTTAATCATTGTGTTGAAATTTTCTTAAATATTTAAGGAACACCCGATTTGCTTTTCATGAGAAAAATCCATGTGAGTCGTATGTGATGATTTATAAAAGAGATGAACCACCGAGCCCTTATGACATTTGGAACTTGAGATGGGCCCCAAACATCATTGTGGATTATAGAAAATGTTTTGATGCTTTGTATGGCTGAATAAAGTATAAATTATGAGTGTGTTTTGCAAATTGACAAATTTCATACTAAAAAGAACTAGCAATTTTATTTCTAAATAAACTTAGAAAAAGCTTAGTCAAGTATGTAAAGCTTGGTCGTCTTAACCTATAATGCCACACTCGTGGCTAACCTCTCAATGTAAAGCTTAGGTGTCCTAACCTCTAATGCCACACCATGATTGACCTCTCACTTTTAGTTTTCCACTCACTAACATACAAGTAATTATTAGTTTTACAAGAAATAAGGTCATTCACTCTTAGATGAGATTATTTTATAATACCCGGTTAAAACTTAAGACGATCGAGCAAAGCATGACTTCTAACACTACTAACCATCCTCCTCGAAGTCACATCCCGAAATTCACAAACACAAGGAGAAAAATTAGCTAGATAGTTAAGTTCTTTGGTAATTTTATTTATGGAGAGTAGGTTTTAGTATAGATTAAGAGCATATACAACAAACTTGAATGTTATGTCTCCGGATACTACAACCGAACAAGTTCCTTTAGCTCTTTCCAAATAACCATCTATAATTCTTATTGTGAGAGTATTGTTACAAGGACAATATGTGTGAAAAATTCACTTATCTCTTGTCATGTGATCGAAAGCACCGAAGCATACAATCTAAGGCTTATAGAGCTCTTGTTTGACAATCAAAACTTTGAGAAAATTATCTTTTTGAACTATGAAACTCAATTGAATAACTGGTGGATTCTATTGTGATTGTAGTAGCCTTCTTAGTCCATCAAGTTGTTCTTCTTTGCTAGGAGTTACATCTTACTCTAAATTGCTGACCATTTTGCCTTCAATTTTATTCTTTGCTATTGTTTTTGGCTTCCAATCAGCCAATTTTTCATGGAGAGTTCAACGGGTTTCTTTGGTGTGACTAGGGTGATGGCAATGCTCATACCATGGCATTGCCCCTCCGCATGGTTCGTCGCTGATTTCGGATTACCAAGACCGATGACTCACCATTAGCAATTAATTTTTTCGTCCCCGACATCAAATGACACTTACTTTCTTCCTTTTGGACCTCAAAGATGGCTTCGCGTATGCTTGGAAGTGATTCCGTGCTAAATATGGTGGTGATGGGTGTGGATGAATAGTTTATCATGTCTCTCTCATGGTTGTTAAACGCAACGAGTTTCAGCATTAAAGGATTTTAAGGTTTCAATAGAAGATTCGCTAGTGCTTGTCATGTTTGGTCTTGGATGTTGATGTTGGAATGATATAAAGGATGGGCTAGTTGATGAACACTACCGGAATAAGCAATGTAAAGGGTCGTTGGAAAAAGTAGTAGGTAAAGAACTAACTTAGGATGGTTGTGGGAAGAACATGAGGCATTTAGGGTTGCTTTGATATCATGCGAATATTTAGGTTTTGAATAACCTAATTTTATTATATCAGAGCATATATTTATATACACAAAAAGAGCCCTAAGCATTAAGATTTGTTTCCTACTTTAAGGAGAAAATCTTGCCTAATCTATTCTTAATAGGAAACAACTATACAACTAATTATTCACTGATTTCCAGCCTAATTTTTAGCTAATTTATAACAAACAATCCAAACACTTACATTCGAATGGCATCCTTTCCTCTTGCTTTACTATAGTTAGTTGATCAATTGAATCATTTAAACTTCATTTGTGCTCATTTTCTGTTTAGTGCTTACGACCTGACAATAATGGAAGTCATTGTCCCATTTCTCCTGAACCAATGGTGCCTCTTTGCTTAGAATGTTATAATATCTCATTATTATATCATTTTCTGAATGATTTATTTATTTTATTTTTTTTTCTCTAGAGAACATAGGTGGCACCATCTTTTAAAGTGTAACCTTGAACTATTGAGCTAACTTTTATGATTATGATCTACATTTGCTTTTGCTGCATAGGACTTGTTGAGTGTCGAAGTATGCTTTCTCTTCTTATATATGATAATGTTGCATCATCTTTCATTTGATTTTGGTGCGCTTGTCCTAACAATCAAGACATGCATTTGTTCATCTCGTCCTCAACTAAACATGCATTTTGTTTGAACTTTTGGTTGAAATGCCACATTTATGGGTGACCTCATTTCAGATGAACATATTGCTTCTTGTTTGTTGACCGACTGTAGAGAACTGTGGTTATCTACTATGAAGTTCGTAGTTAGTCTTATAGCTAGGTTTTAAAGTTAGTGGAGGAGTTCATACCAAAAATTAGAAGTGTTTTAATCAGATAACTAGTTGCTGTAGTTGCTTGTACAGCATGCACAGATAGATGTACATATTGTTAACCTAGCACTTATAGTCTTGACAATAATTTGCTTTTAGAAGTTCTGCTTATGTTAAGCGTCAGTTTTAAAATTTTTTACCAACGAAAATAAATTAGTAAAGAAAAAATAAGATTAAAAAATGCTCATCAGGGGATGATTGAGACAAATAAAATAAAAAAAAGCTCATCAGGGAATGATTGAGACACATAAAACGCAGGAGGAGAATTGTATTCTATAGAATTCTTTTAACTTGCAACAGGGGATGATTGGAAGTAGTTTATTACCCTACTGGACTAGGAGCTAATTAAAAGAGGAAGGAATGCTGTGGACCTCAGGAAAATGCTATACCGAGCCAAGTTAATATTTTATAAAAGGCCATAGGATGATTAGGTAAACTTTTGTCTATTGTAGAGTTGGATTTGTCATTTGTATGAAAGCCAATTAATAAATATTAAGGTTATTGACAGAACCTATCTGAAAGACAAAATAAAAAAGTTGACCTCTACCTCGCTTGAATATATGGCTAGTATGAGTTTGTCTTTAGTTTTCTTTCATTCCTCATCCTAAATTGAAAATGAAAATGAAAATGAAGATGTTCAATGGTTTGAATGGGACGTCAGAAAAGTACTAGTTGTTTAATCAAACTCGTGTGCACTTATTTTGACTAGTAGATTGTGGAAAACCCACCATAATCACTTGTGCGGTGTTCTGAATCATTTTTCTCGAATAGTTTAAGGTTGTCTTAACTTTCTGTAAATATAAGGAGAAGATTAATCATTAGTGGGCTATGGAAAGATCATTTGATATTCGAAGCATCAATGTTATATGGCCCATTGACGCATTTTCAAGTCACTAAAACAAGTTTGAGAATGTCAAAGTGGTTTCTTGAAACTCTAATTATGAAAAAAATAGCATGCTAAAAAAGTCAAAAGAGTATTTTACAAATGATGCCATGTTAGCCTGCATAGTACTGTTATGCTTGATGACTTGTATGCTCAGTGATTGGTCTGCCATGCTTGATGACTTTTTGTCTCTTCGTTTTGTCCTACGTTTAGCTTCTCTCTTTTCCAAGGAAGCATAAAGTAGCTAAAGACATGTTTTTGTGTACAGCTTGAGTAGAGGGCTAAAATTAGTTTGATTGGTTTAGTTCCTAATTGCAACGATGGCCATAAAAGCATTTGGTGGACTAATGTCCATCCTATTTGGCCATTAGTTATTGAACTTCAAGGTTAAGAATAAAGAATTAATGTGTATTGAAATCATTCATGCTATTCTTTTTGGAATCCAGCCGTAGAGGTCTTATTGTCATTTTAGGTATTTCATTCACAAGTCCCAACTATAAAATTGAAGAACAGCCAAATATGAAATGAAAGAAAAAGTAACGAAATTTTTGAAATTGAACAATACTCGGACGTTATGTTCTGCACATGTTAGCTCTTTGCACTAATTAGGGATACCATAGATTTAAGTCATTTTATTTAGGTTTTGGCACTTTGTAGTGATAATAAGCTTTGTATTTTGTTTGGTAGCCTCAATATAGTGCTATCAGGAAGCACTAGCTGAACTCAAACAAATTAATCATTTTCTATTCAAAAGCAAACCGCGGTTACATCAAATCTTAAACTTTGGAGATGGTGGCTTAAGTGGTAAGTTGGTTTGTTTTTGGGTTAAATATACTTCCTATTGTTGTACTATATCGAAAATAAAATATTGTTGTTGTATTATATCGAAAATAAAATATTATTACAACTCCTATTTCAAACATAATTCATAATAAATCTTATACTATTGAACATTGATGCAATATGCACTACAACAAAATTGAGTATTGCATGTGGTTTTTTTGTCTTGTAAAGACGGTTATAACCTCCTTTATAAAGTCTAGTGGTGGTTTTTTCAACCACCTCAAAACCGCTACAATGTCGTCATCTCTACATCGTAGAGGTGGTTTTTCCAACAATTGGGGAATTTTGAGATGGGTGTATAAAGACGGTTAGAACAACTCCAATATATATATATATATATTGTGATGGTTAAAACTACCTCTAAAATATCGATTATGTCCTGTTTTATTTTTTAATATGACATATATTAAGGAGTTGGTAACCACCTCTAAATTCTCGAGAATTTTTATATTTTAACAGGAAATCACCGAGGACGGGTAAAAACACCTCTAACTATAGAGTTTATCAAGATAGTTGTGTTACCACCTCTAATGTTTCAATTAGTTTTTATTTAACCTCCAAATTTAATAATTAACTCAAAATAAACAAAAATTAACACAAAAAAATTATATATTATTGAATGCAAATAAAAGATTAAACTTAAGTATTGAACGCTTGTTCAAAATAGCTAAACAAATTGCCTAATACATCTTAAAATAAGTAGCTAATGTTCATAAAAAGCAACTCTCACACTAGCATTGCTATTGGATAAATGATCGGCATCATAAAGGTGGTATCGAGAACCTAAGGGACGCAATACGGATAATGATGCTCTAGCCTTTGCATCCGCTTCAATAGCCTCACTAGAATCCAATTTTGCAAGTTTCCGTGCATTGATTCGAACTAGATGTTGTGGTAAAGTTTTGGCTTTGTCAACTTCTTGTGTTGCATCCGGATCAATTATGGATGGTAGGCATCCCGGCTCCAAATGTGGAATAATTTCGTCTTGCTCATTAAAGACCCAAAACTAATCAAATTCCAACCTCATTTTGTTCAAGTGTTAAGGAAAGATACTTCAAAATAACAAAAGATGTAACTACTACATTAGATCACATAGCAAATTATAACCAAAAGCAACCAAATTCTACTTTAATGTCTCCATAGTAAGTTTGATATCCGAGCACCGTCATAATCCGTAGCTTCTACGGTAAGCAACGACCAAAACAAAGCAAGTTTGATTATAATTTTAAAGCTTGATTATTTCCTTTTGCATGTGAACCTTCTTGGTCGAAAGGCGGGGATTTTTTTCCCCCGATAGAGCAAGCTAGTCGTTTCTTTTAATGAAACTTCAAAGATGGTTTGTGTAATGGATGCTTCGGGTGTTTAGGCTCCTCTCTTGTGCACGTGCTATTGCACGAGTTTTTATTGCCCATGCTCGCTCTCCAAAACCATAGTAAATTATTACAATCATTTGAAGGATTATCCCGCAATAACAAGCAATTGAAAGTTTTCCATTTTGACCCTTTTGATTACCACAACATAATGGATGCCTTGAAGGGATGTTATGGCTTGTTTATTCCTTTGACCCTCCCTTAGATCAACCCACCTATGATGAATTCATGGCAGATGTAGAGGTGAGGGCAAAACACAATACATTGGAAGCATGTGCATAAGCAAACACTATAGACAAAGTTATCTTCACATCCTCTACAACAAATGTTATATGGAGTGACGGACACGGTAAGGCACCTAATCTAGATGAGAGAAATTAGAGTGACATAAATTTTTACGGAAAGTTTAAGTTATGGCATGTATTGTCAAAGACACTACCCGAGAAGATAGCATAGGCCCTAGCAATGGACGAAGCATTAACATGGTAATAGTAAATTGAGGGCTCTTGATGAGTCCTAATCTAGCAATAACAAAACCTTATTTAAAAGGAGCAGCTGAGATGTATGAAGATGGAGCATTTGTTACTATGGACCTCGGGTTCATAATGGACATGCATATCCGTGTGTTTGAAGACATTACATCTTATGAAAGATATGTTTGCTTCAACCATGTCATCAACTCGCAATGAAGATGCTCGTTAAACTTCGTAATATGCTATTGCCACCCTCCGAATCTTCATTTCCTCAAAGTTTGGAAGCTACAATAATTCACCAACAAAGGATAAGCAATAAGAAACTAAACAAGCTAATGGTGGACTTTGATAGTAAACTTCGAGTTGACTAATTGCGGTAGAGTTGGGCAAGCAAATAAAAATTTCATTTAGCTCTCTATATCTTAAACTTTGATAGGAAACATATTATGTTTGAATCGGTAAACATATCCGATACGAACAAAGAAAAAATGCTTCCACTTCAACTTTTAATATTATATACACTAAATGCTCAATAAACCCACATTGCGAGAGATTAAAGATTAAAAACAAAGAAATCCATAAAAGAAATAAATCAATACACACAATCGAACTCAAGTAGAAAAACTCACATTGGTTTTAGCAAGAATCAAATAAAACTGGAATACCCAATTCAAAGAAATGGTAAAAAACACAAATATCTAAAATCAAGAAGTCTTAACCCCTAAACAAAACTCAAATACCCAATTCTTAAAAGCCCTAAAGTATAGAACTTGAAAAAATAACTCAAAACCCATTCAAAGCAAAAATCTATTAAATAGACAAAAAAGTTCCTCTTTTATTGCTTATCCGGGTTCTTGTTACCCATCAATCCGATCAACATAAAGCGAGTCTAGCATCACACACTTCTTAAGCTATTGTTGTGTGGCAATAAATCATTGAAATCTACAAGGCATTTTCTTCCTTTAGAATCTCCACTCGGGGTAGGTCTGCTTTTTTTCCTCCTTTTGAAGGTATGAGTCCATTACCGCCCTCTATCTAGTGTAAGGGTGTAAGGGAGAGAGGAAGTGAAGTTCTCTATTATTTATGAAGGATTCTCATCATGCATAGTTAAATGGAAAGAGAGGAGAAAAAGAAGAGGAGGAGAAGAAAAAACCTAAGAGAATCGTCTTTCTCCTTTTTCGGAACCTAAAATAGAAAGATAACAAAAGAAGTGAAGGCGCCTTGGCTTAAAATATGGGGTGGGGCGGTTTTATCAACCGCCCCACCTTTTTTATTTGTTATAACGCAGGTGGGTTAAAAACTATTAAATTTTGGGGTGGTTCTCTTGATCGCCCCAAACATTTTGCTCCTACAGTCTTTTTTTGGTGTAGTGACGATTCCTATAACTTTTGTCATTAGATTGACCAATTTTGACTAACATTTGACCATCAAGTAGTGACAAGTTTCAATTTAAAGGTAAAAATATATTTTTTTTACAACTAATTTTATTTTTTAAAGATACAATAATTAATAATTATTAAAAATAGAAAAAAATTCTAAACAAGATTTTTAAAAATAATCATTTTTAACTTTTTAATGATGTTATAATTATTATTATTATTAAAGAAAATTTTAAAAAAATTCAAATATTTTTTAAAATTATTTTATAATAATTATTGATAAATAGTTTTTTCAATTTTTAATTTTTATAATAATTATTAATAAATAAAATTTAAAAAAATCTAAAGAAATTTTTAATGATTATTAATCTTTCTTTTTTGTTTTTTGAAAAAATTTTCCTTTAGATTTTTTCTTTAAATTGTCTTTATTGGTAATTATTATAAAATCATTAAAAACGTTTTTAGATTTTTTCAAAAAAATTCATTTATTAATAATTACAATAAAATCATTAGAAGTTGAAAAAAAAATAATTTCCTTAGATTTTTTTTAAAAAAATTTGATAGTAATAATAATAATAATAATAAATTCATTAGAAATTAAAAAAATTGATTATTTGAAAATTTTTCTTTAGGCCTTGTTTTTTCAATTTTAATGATTTTATAAACTAATTAATTATTTAAAGTTAAAAAAATAATTTTAGAAGAAAATTATATTTTTATCTTTAAGTTGGCATGTTTTACCACTTGATTGGTCAAATGTTAGTCGAGTTGTGAAATTTTTTTAACCCGACAAGTAAAATTAACGTAATGGCTATTTTGTACCATCGACTAATTGTAAAAAGTTTGTTATAAACTATACTTGGATAAAAAGTTGCAACAATATTTTTGGTATATTATAGGCGTACGATGTGTATTTGATCCGTTTGTTTTTTGTTTCCTAAGTTATCATTTTCCCTTGCATCAAAAGGATAAGCTAAGAGAAAGAAATATTTGGGGAATCTATTGGTTTGAATGTGAATAGCACAGCTTGTCGTACATCTATTTGGTAAGAGATTTAGTTCTGAATTTGAAAATACATTGCGACAAAATTTGTAAAAATGTGGATAGCTTGTCTAAAACTATTTTGTAACCTATTAGTTTTGGTTTTGATGTTAGAATGTTAGCTTATGAAATATATATATATATATATATAAAATTCAATTTTTTGTTATATAATACCTTGTGTCTTTAATAAGTTTCTATGTTTTTAATTGTATCTATTATATTTTTAAATAATAGTTAAGTCTTTAATATGTTATTTTAATCATGGGTAAATTTTTTGAATGAAATGAAAAAAAAACACTTAAAGTAACATATGTTTCAATTTTGAAGTCTTTGGAATCTTTTTATTAATTTTTACTCAATTAGGGGCATTTGATAAAAAAAATTTGTCCACAGTAAAAAAAATTGGATCAAAAAGACAAACTAAAGACTTAAATAATATTAAAAAAATAGATGGAATTAAAAATGTAAAGATGAATTAAGGATTCAAATTATTATATAAATACAAATTAATCCATTTATTTCATGAAAAGAAATATTAGGACCCTTGAAACTATAAAAAAGTGAGAATAAAAAAAATTATATTATTATTGGGTTTATCCTACATTTGGTCCATGTATTGTTTGAATTTTTTTAATTGAGATCCTTTACAATTTTTCAGCTTAATTCAAACTATTTACTCTTACAAATTTGTTGATTCAAAACCTCCGTTATAACTTTGTTAACTCGTTCATCCTACATGTTACGTTAAAATTAACGATAATCAATCACAAATTGATACATGATATAGGGGGTCCCATAAAATAGTTTTTTTTCATCTAAAATAATAAAATTAAAATTAAAAGCTGATTTTTATAATAAAATAATATTTTAAATTTTTTTTTAAAAAAAACCAAACCCGCCCTGAACCTAGTTAAATTTTCCATCTTCAATATTGAAATAGCCAAGACTGAAAATTTTCCTCTCGTTTTTTAATTTTTCTCAAAAAATCAAAGAAAATGAGAAGAATTTTTTATTTGAAGCAATCAAAGAAAATCACATTAGATCAAGTAATCAAATATCCTTAAATCACAACAATTCTCCCATGGGTATCTATCACAAACCCCCCCAAAAAAACATTTCAAAATAATCACATCTATCCAATAATTTCGATCCAAAATAAAAAAAAAAACCATATCCAATAGCCTCAACCAATCCAATAAGAACAAAAATCCCATCAATCTCTAATTCTACCTATCGAAATTATCAAAATAAATGTACTCGTGTAGCACTCACATCATTACCGGTGGCTTCTCTCATCAAAATTTCTTATTCTATTTTGCAATATGATCATTTGTATTTGTTGCAAAATGACTACATTTCAAAGATGCAACTTCAATGTTAGTTATGCATTTTAGTTGCTTAGGAATGCCAATGGCTCCAAACTTCTTAAAGGAGTTTCTATTAGGGGTGTTCGTTTAATAATTTGGTTCGGTTTTGAACTTTTTGATCGGTTTTCGATTAACCGAATTGTCTAAAAAAATAATCGAAACCAAACCAAATTATTATTCGGTTTTTCAATTCGGTTTTGAAATATATCAGCTTTTTTATTCGGTAATTCGATTTTCACTCGTAATTATCTATATTTTTTATTTTTGAAAGGATCATGGACTTTCAAAAAAATAAATTTAGTATTTGCATTACGATTTTAGGCTATGTTCCTATATGTATACGTTTTTCAATTTTATTGAACTCTGTCTAGTTCTATTATTTTACTATTCCTCAATAGCCATTACTAATATAATATCAATTGATATATATATAATACGAGATGTCATCATTACCATATAAAGTCTAATAATATATAATATATGTTATTGTCTATCGATATCGATAGATAATACCGCTAAATATATGTTACAATTAAGACACTTTAACAATTCATTCTAAAAAGAAACAAAACATGCTTTGAAGCTCAAATATAACCGACTTATTTATCTTTATGAAAGACACTTTTAATTAACTTGATGTGATTAGAATTAATGATTTTGAGTAACTTTACAACCATAAGCTAACCTTTGCTAATTAAATGGCAATGTTGTTTTTGAACAATGAAGAACATTAAAACTTTAAACACTCAACTTTCTTCAGCGTAATTTTAAATTATATGTGTTTACTAAAAAGAGACATATAATTATCATCGTGGTCCATAAATTAACTAGTTTTCTTTCACATAGAAAAAAAACACTATCTCACATCTTTTCTTTTAAACTATAAATTGAATTAAGAAAGAAATTATGTACCTCATTGGGCAATTATAAACAAGAATTGGTTATGGTCATTTGGCGTTAGGCTAGTTGGCTCATGTAATCAATGCAACAAGAATTGATTATGGGCTAATTGATTTAACTCCAATCAGCTTAGGTTTGCGTGAGGGTGAGGTGAGGGTGTAAGGACTGAAATGAACGATGTCGTTCATTGATGAATTTAAAAAAAAAGTTTAATAATTTTAGTTGTTCGGTTTTAACCGAATTTAAAAAAAAACCCAAAACCGAAACCGAAAATTGGCTATATTTCGGTTCAATTTTTTTTTTTAGTTTCTAAAAAAAAGCCACACCGAAATTGATATTTCGATGCGGTTCGATTCGGTTATTCGATTTTCATCGAATAGTGAACACCCCTAGTTTCTATTCAATTTCTTTGTCACCCATAATAAACTAGTCTACTATCCGCCCATTTAATGAATTTCAAACCATAATCGACTTGCCGATAGCATAACTTTCTTAGATTTTTAAGGTATCATCAAACTTCATATGTGAGTTGAGAAAAGCTAAGGTGTTGGCTTAGCTAAGGTGTCCGTGATTTGTGAAGATTAAAAGAGAGACAATGAGGGGAGAGAGAGAGAAAAAGAGAGATAATGGGTTGGGAAATAATAGAGTGGGGTATTTTGGCATTATCCTTTTCTTGATTTATTTCAAGTATTATTTTATAATAAAAATCAGTTTTTTATTTTTTTTTTCAGATGGAAAAACTATTTTATGAGACCCAATGTGTCACATGTCAATTTGTGATTAATTACTATTAATTTTAATGTGTCACGTTGGATGAATAATTAATAGAGGATCCGAATCAATAAATTTATAAAAATAGAGAGTTTTAATCAATTTGAAAAATCATAAAAGATCTCAATAAAAAAATTCAAACATTAAAAAGATTAAATATTAATAAATATGATATAAACCATGTTATTATAGACTAGTAGAAGAAAAGTGTGTTATGCCAATGAGGTCATTCGGTGCGTAAGGATATATAACATATCGGTTATCACATTAGTCGGTAATGTGTCCAAGACTCGAACTTATTTATCATGGCATCATGCAAAAACATAAATTAAAGAAAAAGAAAAAGAAGAAAGAAACCTCATCCTAATGAAATTACGGAAGAGGAGATGAGCGACGAATTGCATTTTATTTAGCTTCGTTATCTATCTGGTGCCGACTATTCATTTTGAAAATGAACAAGTCTCGGCCTTTTCCGAAAGAGTTGCTGAAGATGCCGCTTAAGACTTGATATGGTGTTGTAATAAATTGATCTCAACGGGTTTCCATATAACTTGTGTTAAGAAGAATTGGAAAGCACAACACCTCCCACTTAAAACGATAAAGAAATGAGTGAGAACGAGATCCCGCGTAGTTGCTCACTCCTTACTCCTTAATGCTACTTTTGTATGGAAAGTCCGAATTGCTCGGAAGAAAAAAGCAAGCCGCATTTAAAGGTTAAAAGTTGCGGGTTTCTTTTTTTAAGGTATTTTTTAAAAAAATTATCTATCCATACTTAGTTTTTTGTCTTAATTGTATTTTTCTATTAACTTTTTTATACTAATGTTTTTAAATCATTCTGTTTGGGTCACATGATTAAGACACATGTCAATTTTATTTTAATTTTTTATTATTCTTTTGTCTTAATCTAGTCCATTTAATCTCTTTTTATTGAATTTAAATAAATAATTTTTAAAAAATATATATTAAAAAAAGTGAAGATATATGAGGTGTTTTAACCAATTTTGAGTGAAGATATACTAATGCTATAGCCGATGTGTTAGAGAAAATTGGGGGTCGTCGACCTAATTTGGGGTCTATATTTGATTTTAACGAGTGCGAGTTCAATCTTTAGGTTTGCGGGATGTGGGTTTTTTAGGAAGCAAATTCACTTGGTGTAACAACCAAATTCTCTTCAATGTTATTATTGTAGAATGCATGGTCATATTGAGAAAAGCTCGTTATAAAAAGGTCGCAAAACAATCTAATTCACATGAAGAAAAGGATAGTTCGGAAGAAAACTCGTTTCTTGCTTGCTTATTTGCTCATGATGACAATGTTGAAAATGTGTGGTATCTTGATAGTGGTTATAGTAATCACATGATTGGCGGTAAAAAGTTTTTTGTTGAGATTGATGAGTCATTGAAGACACAAGTGAGGATGGGGAACAATAGCCATGCTCGTGTATGTAGAATTGGAACTATTACCGTGATGTCAAAGTTTGGACGTAAATATTTGCATGATGTTATGTATGTTCCCGGCTTAGCATATAATTTGCTCGAGTGTGGGTCGGTTGATGAATAAAGGCTACTATGTTGTGTTTAATAATGATGAATGCATGATATATGATAAGAGGAGCATGCACTTACTCTACTATTCTAAAATGGGAAAAGATAAGATGTTTCCTCTTGTGTTTTCGAAATTCCCATTAATGCCTTTAATGTAATTAGTGATGATTCCTCACTTTGGCATCAAAGATTTGATCACTTTGATTTTGATAAACTGACTTTGTTGAGTAAGAAGAATATGGTGGATGGTCTTCCAAATATCGGCATTAAAAGGCAGACCTTATGAAACTTGCATTTATGGGAAGCATCATCTAGAGAAATTCCCTAAAAAGAGTTTTTGGAGAGGTTCGAGCCTTTGATGTTGGTTCATACGGATGTGTGTAGGCCAATGCAAACACCCTCTTTGAGTGGAAGTAAATACTTCTTATCTTTCATTGATGACTTTTCAAGAATGTGTTGGGTGTATTTTCCGAAAGAGAAGTCGAAGTGTTTGAATGCTTTAATGATTTAAAGTGATGGTGGAGAACCAAAGTGGTTGCTTTCTTAAGACACTTCGCACCGATCGTGGTGGGGAGTTCAATTCTATAGATTTTAACAACTTTTACAGCGAGTCATGGCATCCAAAGGCAACTTACGAGCAAGATATACTCCCCAAGAAGATGGAGTCGTCGAACAAAAAAATAGAACAATTGTTGAGACCGTCGAAGTATGTTGAGAGAAAAATCTTCCAAAGAAGTTTTGAAGTCGAAGTCTGTAGGTTTTATCGTCTATCTTCTCAACGGGTTTTCTACTCAAGCTATTGAAAGAATGACTCCTTATGAAGCATTGCATGGCTATAAACACAATGTAAGTCATTTAAAAACATTTGGTTGCATTGCTTATGCTTTTGTACCTACTAAATTGAGAAGAAAGCTTGATGATAGGAGCGTTAAATGCATTTTTGTTGGCTATAACAAAGAAACTAAAGGCTACAAACTTTATGATCTTATTTTAAAGAAATTAATTATTAGTCGTGATATGGTCTTTAATGAAAATGAGGCATGGATTTCGAAAGAGGTTTAGTCACGACTCACTAATACGGTGGAGATTGTTGATTTTGAGATTAACGACTTTATGAATCACCGTTATCATCTCCGAATCAACACCAAGAAGGGTAAGAAGTCTTACTAAAATTTATCAATCATGTGAATATGCTTGCTTGGCTTTAAAACCTAGTTGCTATGAAGATGCGATAGAGAAAGAAGAATGATGTATGGCTATGGTCTGAAGAGATCAAAGCAATTGAGAAGAACAAAACATGGACCTTGGTGGATTTACCGAAAGGGAAAGAAACAATCGGTTCGAAATGAATTTTCAAGTCCAAGCTCAACATAGATGTTTCCTTGCAAAGGAATAAAGCACAATTGGTGGCTAAAGGATATACACAAGTTCCGGGTATTGATTTCATCGAAACTTATACTCTAGTTACTCGTTTTGACACTCGTTAGAACTCTTTTGGCTTTGGCGACCCATAATGATTGGGCGGTCTATCAACCGGATATAAAATTAGCCTTTCTTAATGGTGATTTATTAGAGGATGTGTATGTTGAGTAGCCTCAACGCTTTGTGGTGAAAGAATAAGAACACAAAGTGTATAAAATTGCACAAGTACTCTATGGGCTCAAACAAGCTCCTCGAGCCTCGTTACAGTAAAATTGATGCTTATTTTGCTCAA